AACATAAAAACACGAGACGACACGACACGATGTAGTGTAAACCCGGCTTGAGGCGATCGCCGTCCATATATACGTATGTAGTTTACCACTTTATTCGAAAGTTGATATAGCTTCGTTAGTCAATGGCCAGTCCTAATTAAAAACGGAAGCAGCTACCAGCCCCGGAAATAATTCTCGATCAGCTTTCCCCTTGTCGTTGTCGAATGCGTAAAGTGTTGTGCGTTGTGACTGCGACGACATTCTACCGAAACGAGTTTATTGTAACAAACAATCGTGTATGTATAATAATATTGTTAGCCCTCATCGTTTGCTATCCGACCAATCGCATCGAATTTTTCTGGATTTTTGAGGGCCACGGCTACGCTTCAATGTACATCTATGTGTATCACGTTTTTTTAGAACGCCTCAACGACTGTTCTTTACAATACACACATTGTAGTTGCATTAAATATTATAGTGTATTCAATGTGTATACAGTTTTTATAATCCAAACTGTAGTATCATGCATCCCTATTCCCTATACAGGGTGATTCTTTTATCCTGAAACACTCATTATTTTAAAAAGAATCAATGTTTTTGAAAATATTTGTTTACATAGTTTCAAATTGTTAAAAAAACATTTTTATCAAAAAATTATATTTTTAAATACTTTTTATCTTTATAGTTTTTAAGTTTTTTACTCTTTTGAATGACAACATCGAGTTTTAATTTCATATTCCAAAGCAGAATATTTTTCTAAGTATTTTTATTCATAAAAATCGAATTTAGGACGAGTAGTTTATGAGTTATAACTTTAGATGTGCGGAGTAAAGTGGTATGGGTTACCCCGGAAAATATTTGTTCACTACTCCGCTTGTCTAAACTTTAAATACTTATAAGTAACTCATAAACTACTGGTCATCAATTCGATTTGTATGTATTAAAATACTTAAAAAATATTCTGCTTTGGAATATGAAATTCTATGTTGTCATTAAATGTCATTCAAAAAAGTAAAAAACTTAAAAAAAATATTTTCAATAACATTAATACTTTTTGAAATAATGAGTGTTTCATGATACAAGAATCATACCTTGTATATGTTTATTTTTCTTTATTGAATTTGTTTTTCTGTTCAAGTATGTAATAAGCACGAAATTAATTTGTAATGTCAAAACGTACTTTTACAAGGATAGAAAGCGGTAATAAATTAGCATTTGGATGCTAAAATTCTGAAATTCTGAATACATGTCTGTGTATAGCACGACTTGTCGACACGACGGATGAAACGTGTGTTTCTCCATCACAGATTGACTGATATTTGAAAGAATAGTAGCACCTATCGACCTATCAACTGGAATCTGGAAACGTAAAAATATTTCGTCGACTTTTATAGCTAGACTGCGTTGATGAATGATTACAACGTTCATACTGCAGGATGAGACGGGGGGATATCCGTCATCATTCTGGCCATCGGGCTATTATATATGTATATATTTTATTATCACCTTTGCAGTTCATTTCCGTTAAGCCTTTTTATTACGACTATATATAATGCTTTCACTTTTCAGCGGTTATAAGAGTGTGGCATTTGTCAACGCTATTTTCGACGACAAGATTCCGGAAATCGGCTTATTCAATCTTCGGTTTGTACTCGCCTCGATTCCGTTATATAATATATTATATAGAATGTATATATAAATGCGAGTAAATACATTTTCTGAGCGTCTCCTGTTCTGAAGTACCATTTATTGTAAATTTAATTTGGTACTTATTTATATAAGGTAGGATACCTATACACTTACGCAGATTCAGATGTGCCGCCTAACGATTTCTATTTTTCCGAACCGTAATAAAACGCAGCGCCAAGTTCATAATTATTTGCAATTTTTTGTTTGTCGTATTTCGGTAATGAGAGTCATAATATCCAAGCACAAAAGTGAAAAAATTTTATTAAATCATAATTCTTTCTAATAGTTTCTATATGATGAATAATATAGAAAATGCTCTACGTTTTTCAGTTTTATCAAAAGAGTTTTTATTTGGCTTTATTGGCTATTAAGGCCTTTTGCCGCTTCTACTAAGCCCTTCCACCTGTCACGGTCAATAGGCAATAGCAGTTTCGAAACTTGCTGCTCCGTCCACTACTCTTATATCTGCATTGACTCTATCCCGCCTCTTTCAAAAGAATTAATAGTATAAAATAGCAGAGTACAGTAATCCGTCGTGCAAATAATTTTATAACCAACATTTCAATTTGTATGGTTTGTTTTATGTATAAATATTAAATAGTTATCTGCATAATAGGCACAATGAAATTAAGAATCAACCAAGATTTAAGTTTCATTTTGGATAAATTCAGAGGTGCTAAATATTAATTTATAAACTTATAAATCACTCCCGGAGACTATTTTTAAAAATATAATTATATAATATAGTAAAAATAATATTATCAACGTTAAACCCTGTATAAAAATGAAATAATAATAATTGTTTTTTAAGATTAAAATATTACACTAACACATTATTACATAATTATTTATTTATCAGTCCTATATATTTTTTTTTGTAGAGTTCGAAATTATACGATAATATACAGTGGTTAAAATTAAGTAATACAATTATTTTCGGGTTAAAGTTGAAAGAGGGCCCACTAAGTGTATGGTATCCCCGGGCCCAATTGCTAGGATTTATCAATTTCAACATAAATATCGTATTTCTACAAGCATTTAAATTATTAAGTGCATGTAAGTTCCTATAAAATCAAGCTTATTTTTAAATTATTAAGTACCAACTTTAAAAATACAATAACAAATTAATTGTATTCAATATAATGTATAGTAATATATTTTTATTGTATAAGCTATGCATTTTTATATTATATTATGTGTCAATTAAACGAATTTTGAAGTAATGAGTTAGTTATAATAACATCAAGGGAATAATTTAATATTAAAGAAAAGTTATTGCGAGATTTAAACGGATGCCTTATAAAATTGTAACGATTTCCAAATTCTATTATCTTCAGAAGAGCTTTGATTGAGTAAAATAAGAAATTAATACCTTATGCGGCTGTACGAAATTACAGTTTTTGAAAGGATCGATTTTGGTAGAACTATATATAAGTAAAACATATAAATAAAGATGTGAAAATGAAAAATAAATTGGATAGAAATATATAAAGGAGACAAAGGAGAATGCTATGATGGAAATGAAAGGAAAATAATAAAAGCCATAACTCCAAAGTTCTCTCAAATATCTTTAATCCCATGAATACCTATCAGTAAATTTAAAAAGCTAGAGATTTTATTTAAAGATTTCTCAAATGTATTAATCCATGTAAATTAAACTGTACAATATTAACCAGCATGAAAAAATGCATTAGAATTATTTTAATCCTGTCATTATGAAGACAATTTTGATCGTGATATAGGTATTCAATATTGTGTAAACATTCGATTTAATTTAATTTTGATAAATGTATTATAATGGATGATCGAGGATGAGAATCCACATGATGTATATTTCGCACCCTCGTACAAGTCTCATTTACAAAATACAAATGTGTAGACTGTATAGGTTATACAGGATTTAGTGATTAATTTTGAAATTATTTTATTTTACATACAAGTAGGTATATCACACATCACACATGCAAATAGAATCTGATCAATATTGATCGAGAATATCCGTATAATTGTGTCCATATTTGACCAAAAGTGATAAATGATATTTCAAATGTATGCACCTTATACATCACAAAATGCTGACATGTATATGCTATGTATATGTATAATTTATCCTAATATTTACCAGATAATGGAAAGGCGAATACATACAATATAGAACAGTTGAAACTATATTTTGCCCTTTAGTGATGACAATTATATTTCTTTGGCATGTAGTAATAACTGATAATATACACTACCTATATAATTGATATGGTATTAGACTAAACATAAAACATATTTTTAAGATATGCAGTTAAGAGTAGTTATATACTATATTATGATAAATGTTTAAAAATTGAAACGAAACTATTTCAATATAATATGTGATTCAATTAAAATTAAAATAATTATTTCAAATATGTCAACGAGTATTTAAAATAATATTATTAATACATTAATAATATTTCAAAAGTAACTTATTTTATTTTATTAGGTTGATTTATTTTTCCGAAAACATTGCGTTTATTATATTAAATATTAATTTTATTAATATTAAATTATTATAATAGTGAATATTTCTATCATAGATATTATATTATTGTTATTAACTTTTGAGTCAATAGTTAATTGTTGAGCTGTCATAGTTTATTATTAAAAGATGAAAAAGACCTTTTGAGTCAGTACAGCCTATTAGAACAACAAATTTCTATCGATATTTCATGTATAACGTAATTGAAATGTTCAAATGTCTATAAATAACTTTAAAAGAGTAAAAATATGTTTAAAACTATATTATCATGAATAGAAAATGTTAGTATAAACATTTGGTGGACATTTCAAGTATCTACAGTTATTTGTTTTTTTGAATTACAAAAAATAATAAAATCGTTTATTTAAGGGTGAATATCCAATGTCGTTGAACAGAGTATAATAAAATATACTAAATATTTTACAGCGTGAGTGCCGTGTTTTCGAGCTCGCGGGTTAGGTTGGAGCCTCGTTTGACTTTAGTCTGTCAGTCAGAAACACGATTAAAGATATACAGGTTACTTACGACAACAATGTTGGTTTCTAACAGCTTTACAACGATATGATAATAACTACTAGCACTCAAATACATAGTATTGTATATCTATATTTATATATTTTGCAGTACCAAGAGAAATCACTATAATGCAAACGCGCTATCTGTTATTCTTGCTATGACAAGATCGTTAATTTTAAGAGCACCAAAAAATAAGTTTCGTTGAGTAACCTGTATATCTTTAATCGTGATCGGAAACGATGCAATAAAAGAATACAATAATAATAATAATAATAATAATAATAATATATTATAGCGGGGCAGCACCATGTCACGCGGTTACTACAATGGCGGTTACAACCACGCGTGTGAAGTGGACCAAAACCACCGGTACGAAGAGATACCGGACATCGACCCGTCTATGGACTTCCTGCAGGCCGACGACACGTCCGCTTCGTTCTACTACATGGAGTCGCCAACACGGTTGCGCAGGCCTTCTGACGCCGCGGACCCTGCCGAACGGACGTTGCTCCTGCGCGCCCAACAGCACAACCACTACCAACAGCTACAGCAACTACAGATGAACGGGTGCCCGCCCCCGTTACCGGCCGCCCGAGCCAGGCGCAACACTCCGCCACCCGCGGCCGGCGGTGACCGGTCCGTGGCGGCCGTGACGCCGTGCAAAGCCAGACGCCGGTTGGACGTGTACGGTGACGCGTCAGGCACCGTCAGCCTTCCGTCCACGCCGTCCGGAGCCGGCCGGACCGCCGACGTGTTCGCACCGATGATGGCGCAAACGACGGCGGCGTTCAGGCCGGTCACCGTGCGCCGCGCCCGGTCTTCGGCCGCCCTCTACAACAAACACAAGCGGCCGCCCGAGTTTCTGTCCGAATATAATCTGGACACGTGCGTGCCGGTCACCGGAGTCCAGTACGACCGGCCCAGGAACACGGCCGTCATACAGCCCATCTACAATAAGGCGCCACTGCCGTCCGTGTTTCAGGTATAATAATTGTATAAATAAACGAATCGATTAGTATTGCTCCGAGTTAGCACTCCTAGGGCCAAATTTCAATGGTGGTTTATTCTAGGCTTAGGTTAAACCAGAAACCATGATTAAGGGGAACCCAAAAGGTAAACGTGTAGTTCAATTAATTTCAATCATCCACTTGGCTAAACTTAAAAAAAAAAGTATATTTTGTATGACTATAGCCGACATGTTATTATTATTATTATTACTGATCATCATATTAACTAAAGTGATAATTATTTTATTTCAACTGTTTTGTATGTTTCATGGTATAACAATATTACGCTATGGAATGTTTGTAATTTTTGAAAAATAACTTTTAATGAAAAAAACTGCTTTATACATCTCTTTTTCTACAAAAACATAACATTTTCAAAATTTTTTTTCGTAAAAATATATTTTCCCAGTTCCTTTAACTTTCTAGCTTAGTTTTGAAATTCGCTCGGAAATCCTTCTCCCGCAAAATTCAGAAACGAGTAAAATAATATTATGGAAATGGCCAGCAACAGGTTCTTAAATAAAAAAAAAAATATATAACATTTTTAGAATAAACTCGTTACTATTAAACTATACTCAGAGCGTCCCTGAAAATAAACTGAAGCTATGTAAAGCCATAAGATATACTTAAACTTCGATTGAAATCCAGAAAATTATAGTTATAATAGGTTCATTTAGCCTTAAGCTTTAGGTTAAGTAGATATTGAAATACCGGAACGCTAAGAACGCTTAACCCTTTAAAACCAACATGATCAATTTGACTGAACCATCACACCATATAATACTACGAAACATATGCTTACTTTTACTTGTACTTGGTAATTTCATAATGATATATACAATGTCTAAGTGTCTTCCGTATGATATTGTTTTTTATTCGGCGAGAAATATTCATTTTCCATCTATATACGAATCATTCGAAAGCAAATTATCTCAGTAAAAAGCGTTTTTTTAATCATTTTTTTCAAAATTTCGTTTACTATTATAATATTGTGGCCCACATGAAACATATTTCAGCTTTTACAATCAAATTATACGAATAAAATGTTTACCTTCAAAAACGTTAAATCGACACTTTAATTTTCTTATTTTTCAATAGTATTCATAAAACAAGGATGGGAATAATTAATGATAATAAATTGTATTTTAACGATAAATTATAATATATAACTATACATTTCAGTTGTCACCTCTATATGTATAGCAAACGAATATTTTTTGCTCTCTACGTATTATAAAAATAATTATGACACTAATAGTATTAACATACCTATAGCTATAATTATAAAACTATTATTTTTCATGACTTTCGACGTATGAATCGGAATTAAAAATTATTATTCGACAATATTTCGTTGTACCTACTGGATTTTATCCAATTGCCGATTGTCATCGGGACGGAAATTTGTGAATTCACATTGTTCTCTCGCGGTTTGTGCAGAGCAATTTGTGGCGGTTATTAAAGGTAACATATATATAGAGACGCCGCACCGAGCCCCAAATAATAACTCTGTGTCACGTTGTTCGTTGGCCAAAGCCAAATGTTATTTCCCATATAGATTTTGGAGAGGGCTTTTGCGGGTTTTCACTTGGCACCGTGACACGAAAATCCCGATTGGCTGAATAATAATATTGTGAGCCTGCTCCTCGCCGGTTCGTGCTGTCTACCGACAAATTTCCGGTAATATGCGAAAACAGCGTGTTTACAAGATATATCGTACGATAATAATTACACTTATAGTATATTATACTATTATAGACGTAATAATACGAATGGCGACGCATCTGTATCCGCCGCCTGCATCACACCAAGCCAACCTATAACCTAACCTAACCCATGTATTACAACGATATATCGTAGACCAGTCGCCAGGGGAGATCGAACGATGACAAATCTGCTGGGTCGATTTATTTTAATGCACAGAGAATATCGAATTCCATCATATTTTAATATTATCAATTATTTAAGAACTACTCGTCGGAAGCCGCTTTTGTTTGACGATGATGTTGTATTATATAATATATATAGTGGGCGCAACACCCTTATTGTAATGTAGCACTCTTGTAATGTGTAACGTGCTATGCGTATGTTATAATATTGGACGACCCGGGGAGGGGGGGTGCAGTTTTCACCACGTTCTGTCGATCCGAGTTTCCGACGGTTGTATTAAAAAGTTTCGCATTAACTGCGATATACACACCCACATCACTTAATATAATATGTGGATAGATATTACACAGGTATACTCGGCGCCAGTCGCGGCATATTGCAGTTGTGTGAACCTCACAAAAGTTTTCGGCATTTTGATTGCCGCTGCAGACGGCGATAACAATATAATATACACACGTCAAACATGATATACGATTTTGCGTTGTTTATAAAGTCATTTCCGAACGTATCTCAATAATTATAGGAAGCCAACTAGAACACACGCATTATTTCTTAGCGTTATAATAATATGATTTATGCCGTTGTGTGCGTTCGAGGCGGTATCGAGTAGATGATTTTCAATTATCTTGCGGAAAAGTCAACGCACTCCCGAATAGCTTACTTATAATATAATAATAATATAATATTATTAAATTCGTTTTGGCGCGGTTATAGCCGGCGGCGGCGAGTTTGAGACGTTGTTTCATGTTTACCACTCGACCTCCGTCAGCTGACGGGACCACGATGTTATATTATAATTTATAATATTATAACGTTAATGAATTACAAACACGGTGGTAGGTAGGTACTGAAGGACTTAGGCAGGGTAGTTGAACCGAAATTGAGCAGTATCAAAAGTTCAGATGACTAACAGATTTGAGGGTATAGGTATAGATATATAAATAACTTGGAAGTTTGGAGATGAATCAGCAAATAATAAGATATATTTGATGATGTTTAAAATGTCCTTTAATATCGCCTCCTACGCACTCGTACCCCGACAGTTGCAGGACAGCATCTACCCTGGCGATTCGGAAAAATCCTACCTACTCAACTATATATAAACATTATATTATTATAATATATTCACAGTTTGATACCTCCGGAAGAGTATAATATCATAGATACAGAACAATGCGTTTACTGGTCACAGTTACAGTCAAAGTCAAGTTGAAATATATTTGTAACAACAATATTTAAAAATTTCAAACTATTAATATTAAATTAAGTGTCTGGGTGTAACAGGAGGAGCTATTAGAATTAATTGACCAACCATGTAATGAATAATAACTTTTGCTGTGATAAATTGTTGATTTTTTTTTTATATGATTATTGTACCTATAAATTATTAAAATAAAATAAAATAATATTGATAAGAACAAAATAAATTATTTCATAGGTGATAAGTTAATACTTGATTACATTTTTCAGTTAGGTAACTATTTCTATTACACTCTGTGCTTCAAAACATTTTTTCAAAATCACAAATTATTATTTTGGCCGCATACTAGGAGTAGTGTTAAATCCAGTAATGTTCCAAGAAAGTTTTAAAACTATTTTATTAAACTAAAAATAAATGACTGCAGTATAAGAAACCACACAAGACATATAGATTACAGCTGATCTCCTCTCTAAGACAAAGTATCACTTACATCATATATTATAGGTATTACTGTATCATTCGAATTTAATATGCTGATGATAATAAACAAAAAATTATTCTCTAATATTTTAATAATATAACCTAACCCTAAGGTGATATCTGATAATCTAAAATACTTAATAGTCTATAGCCTTTGGAACGCAAATGATAACGAGGGTGGGCATTGATATTATATTATAATATAGCTAATGGTGGACTGAACTTGAATTTTAAATGACGCCTTTTCATGATTAAGTACTTATCACCACCTCTTATTAAAACTTATAAAAAAATTTTGATGTACATCAAAAATATGGTCGAAAGATCCAAGAGGTCGGGCCTTACCATGTAGTTGTGGGCCACAGTCGCGGGGTGGCACCACCCCCTTTGAAAAGTTGACGCAACCGCGTCCAAGTTGAGCCTTTCAGCCCGCCACTGAATATAGCTATTAGCTGCATACCCACCAACACCCGAAAACAATCGCACCCATAAGAGTGTGGCCGGCATAGGCATTAAATCAGGCAATACAGCATAGTGTTGTCAAACGGACAAAGTGCTATTCATCAAACGACGACTATAATATTATGTTTTGATATTTTTGTGTTTTCGCAGGTTGAAGAGAAAACGACGCCGCATCAAGCCGAGTCACCCGCCAAGCCGTCGTGGTCGCGGACTCCGCCGGCCCGGACGCCCGTCCAATCGCTGCCCGTGTGCACGTTGTGGTCGGCCGCCATGGTGCTGGTGGTGTCGGGCACGGCCAGCTGCATGCTGTGCTTCTACCTCATGTCCCGGCGCGGCCGGCTGTACTACCTGAACGCCGGGCTGCTGGCGGCCGCCGTGTGCCTGGTGCTCGGTTTCCCCGGGTTCCGATCGCAGCAATGGCGGTGGCTGCCCAACCGGAACTACGTGACCGGTTACATACTGGTGGCCCTGTTCAGCGCGCTGGAGACGTGCGCGCTGTGGCTCATGTGCCAGAGCACCGTGCTGGACCCCGCGCTCAACGACATCGGGGCCGGCGTCGTGTGCGGCATATCCGCCCTGTCCGTGACGCTCGCCTGTCTGGGCGTCAGCACGTCGTACTGTTGCCGGTACCCGCCGCCCGACAACCGGGTCTCGCACGCCGTCGAGGGGTTCGTCGTGTAGACGGTGTAGGTGTGAGTAGTATGATTTGGGGGGTTCAGACCGCACTCCCTTCACTCCCTCCACTCCCTCCACTCCCTCCACTCCCGTCACTCGCACCACTCCCTGTCGTTCACGTGTGCGACGTTGTTATCAGTAAGTGTAACCTTATCAGTGGTACCGCAACCTTACCAGTAACCACTCCTCATCAGTGTTAACAACGTCGCACACGTGAACGACAGGGAGTGGAGCGAGTGGAGGGAGTGGAGGGAGTGAAGGGAGTGAAGGGAGTGAAGGGAGTGAAGGGAGTGAAGGGAGTGCGGTCTGAACCCCCCAAATCATACTACTGGTGTGCCACCCACGTCTACCCATCACACCCATCCTCGGGATTGACAACAACTTTTATCATTGTTATCAATATCTTACGCGCCCCTTGTACCCATCTGCTGCTGTTAAGTACTCTCATTCGTTGTACATATTTATAGTTATCTTTTATTTCAGCATAATATAGATTTGTATATAACATTAGTTTTTCGACACGTGATAGAAATTTATAGCGTAGGCGACGAGAACAATAAATTCCAATGAACACGAGTGTAATGATTGTACATATAATAATTGTAAATAGCGATGAATTATTGCCAAAAATTGTATTTATAACACCTATGCGTCTGTATTGTATAATATGCGCGTATGTACTACAGTGTAAATGGATAAGAAATTAAAATGTTTTGAACTTTTAAAAATAATATTACAACGAGTGAATATTGCAACTAAGATAAATAACGGTACTTATTACAAATAATTCGATGCTATTATCGTTCATCAGTATTAAGTAAACTATTTTACTAATTTTTTAATTTTACGAAAACCATAAGGAAAACCATATTGTTCGATTTATGTTTTTTTGTATTTTATCATACCTATTCCAGACATATAACGTAAAAGCTATTCTTTGAAAAAAGCAACTTCCTTCGAACTTAAACTTTCATACATTCACCTTAATAATTTGACCTAGTGCGAGAGTTATCTACAAGCTATAAAAAACTAATACTTACCTACATTTAGACTTACGAGCGAATAACTTTTTTTGCTTACACAATTATCTCTTAAAAATATTTTTAAGTATAATCGAATATTTACCAAATGTGTGTACATAGTCATAATTAATATTGGATAGCAAATCTACAAATGTAATTTTTGTTTAATTATTATAGAGACATATACGTCTATTACCTACACAGTATTATAAGTGTCAATAATACAACCAATTAAATTTAAAAATAAATATATACTTTTTTTTGAATTAATTTATGTGTAAATATAAATATTATATATTGTATGTGCCTACGTTCAAATAAAAAATTATACGATCAAGCTATATTTTCATTTAAATACGTCAATTTAAGCACGTTTATATTGTACTATAGTACCTATGTCGATTTGAAATTGTTATGTATAAAAGTATAAAAAAATAATTTAAAAACAAATTTTTGATAACCTTAAAAATTTTTAAGTTTGTATTGTGTATATTTTTAAATTCGTAATTTTATGATTTACTTAATAACATTTAATGACATCAATTATGTAAATAGAGTACTCATAACTATTTAACTATTTATGAGAGTTATTAGTTATTATTACTTAAAAATGTAACCATTTAGTATTATTAGATATCCGTTTATATTAGAGTTGTTGAGATTAAATGTCAATAAGTTAATAAAATAAGAAAGGATAAGTTTATTATATTTGTTCAGTAATATTTCAATGTTTATTTAATACACACAAGTTTATATTATTATTTACACTGTTTTGATATTGATTTTTAAAATAACCTCACTGAATTGAAAAATAATTTATTAACATTTAATTAAATTTCCCCAAAGGCTAACTTAATCACAAATTGTTGTAGGCATATTTATGGTAAAAATAATAATTAAATTTGATTCTTAATCAAATTAGATAATATGGTACCTACTTCTTAAGTCCTAAATCCTAAACAATTATTTGAAGAATGTACCAACAAACAATATAACATAATGTCATGATAATTATTATATGTTATAAAAACAAGTAAGCATCTAGGTATAGTTTGGTTAAACGTGTTAAATTACGTTTTTGGTTGAACTAAATGGAATCATGACAACCTAAAGAGTTTGAATAAAATAAGTTTGTACATAGTATCATGATTTATATCTAATAAAAGGCTTGATTTAACGTATCAAACATAATATTGAACATTTTTGTGTATAGTAAAACCGTTATACTTTGAGATACTGAAAACATCTTTCAAAGTATTTATTTCATCCTTTTTCAATTTAAATATAATACATAACCCTATACTCATTTTAGTGGAATTCTTTATAGACGTATAAAATTCGTATTAGAAAAATACTGAGAATAATTATTAAATGGTTCAGAGAAAACCTTATGAGTTATAAGTTAAAAATGCAAAAAGTACAATATTAAAACCGTCTATTGTAAAAATAAAATGCCTACCTGTATACACACATAAAAAATAAAGTATAATGTACACGACCGGTTTTCTATTTTTTTTAGATATCAGTATACACATTCGCCTTTGGTACGTAAACAAATTGTACTTGCAAGTACTTACCGACATTTCGATGCTAGGATGATCAATGAACACCATTTCAGACTCTTCGCCATCCAGTAGTATGGAAACAGTCTTTTCACCAAACTCGTCATCTGCAAACGTAATTGAAAATTTACCATATTATATAAAGGTACCTACCTATATAGTACATTGTACGTTTCTACTACGTAATAATACATTATTCATTCAGTGCTTTTATTAAATCCATTTCGAGACAGAAAATAAAATTTACCGGAGTTTCCGTTCCCCATTCCAAAGAACTTCATTATACCATGAAATAACTACGTAGGTACCTACCTACATAATAATATAAGGCCGTCGTTTAAAGGCCAACGTGTGTGTGCACAGTGGACGTTTACCTCCGAGTTTACGTCACTTCAAAAACAATTCAGAAAAAATAAATAAACACAAATAGTCGGGATAAAGTGGATTGGGACGATTTTATTGGCATAACTTGACATCACTTCGAGTGTTTTTATTGGGCATGCCGTGTGCAATAATACAAGGGATTTTGTTTGCTTTTAAGCGTACCATTGTTAAGTTTACTAACAAATAACAATAACGACCGATATTGTAATGACCGACTTACGTGACGTTGAGATGTATGGTATAAGTATATATAACTAATAAAATTCACTTTTGTAGTACATAATATGTATATAGGTATCGACATGCACATATTATGTATTCTTATTAAGTAGGAAAATAATATGTATTATAATTTACAAGTTTTAAACTTTTAACTTTTTGACAATAATATTGTGTGATCGTAATTTTTTTTGAATTGTGCATATTTAATCAAAGTTAATATATAGGCACCTAGGTGTAATAATTAATAATAAAGAAAAATGATTTCGAATAATGTTAATATCGTTGAAAAAGTGTTCACTGATAGTAAGGGGGAGAACAAATTCGTCTCTATACAGTCGATTCGAAAATTATAGGTATAAGGTATTTCATTGTGTTTATTAGTTATTATTATCTATAGCTTTTTTTTTTTTTCATAATACAATTTGCAATCTGTTACAATATAGAACAATTATAAGTAAAAAAATATGGACGATTTATTAGCCTGAAAAAAACGGATTTAAGAAGCCTTCCATTGAGCGCATTTTGTGAGTTATTTATATACATTTATATGTACGTTTACAATAATATTATAAATATATTATGGACATTGGCTAAGTTAATAGGTCCCGCACCACTACCTGTTCAGCCATTACTCATTATATATAGTAAATAGAAATTTATTTAATAAAAATGTATACAAATCATTAGAAAAATAGAAACTACTATTTTTTTTTTTAAATGTGTATCACCCTTGGTAGTTCTAAACACTGATTTATAAATAAAAAAATTATTCCGATCATTGGGTGATTTTCTGTTGATTAAGCAATTTTAGATTCTGAGCGGAGCGAGGAAACTAGTGGTTTCACGATGGTGTTTATTTCTACCAGAAGGAGTGCTTAGATTTCAACATAATATAGTACCTTATCTTATATAGGAAATTGGATCAAGATGGTACTTTAGAGAGGTCATTTTTCGATTTCCTCAATAGTTATGGAAAAACTACCGACAAATTACGAAAAATGGGATTTCAATATCCAACGCTTTGTTTATCACCATAGCAACGAATAAAAAATAATAATATTATAATATTAATTCAACTTACAGGCTATAATAAATAATAACAATATAAAATATCCAGACTGACAATAACCGTCTCCGCTCAGAATCGTTTTACTTATACAATATGATATTATATCATTGAATTCAAGTTTAATACAATCCATTATACATTGACCCAATCATGTAACCTACTGTACAGCAGAGCGACATCCGCTTACCAGCTTTTTGATTTTGATTTTAATTTTGTTTTAAAATATCGTTATGCTGGTATGATAAAATATATTATGAAAAATAAAATTCAAAATTAACAATGATGAAATAACTCAACAAATAATGAAGGTAGGTACGTTATAATATGATTACCAGATTACCTACCTACTATATTAATATAATAGCATTAACCACAAAATCGGCTTATTTTCGCTGTTTGATATATTATAGAGATAGGATCAATAAACTATATATATGCAAATCATAGACTTCTGTGCAGTGCGGGAGACTCCACAGTTGAGTTGATCTCCGATAGTTATTTCTAGGCACAAGTTCAATTTATAGTTGCAACACAGATGGCTGTTCTTTAATAACATATTATATTACCTATCATTGTTGCAGAACAGATAACGTAAACAATACTAAATAAGAATATATATTGTAGTGTGTATTGTACCTTACACCGTTCCAAATTGAACCCGCCTTTGTCTTGCAAACGGTAATTTATTGAAATAATGTTAGATAACAATCAGAACGCGAGTAATTAAATTGAATTAAAACATTATTT